GGCCGCGGAGCTGCCTCGAGCTGGTTCGCGGGTTCTGGAAGGCCGCTGCGGGCGGGGTGGGGGGAGGCGCGGAGTGGGCGGCGTGCCCCCTTGGGCCTCTACCGCTGCCGAGCTGGGTTTGCAGCCTTTCCGCCCTCCCTGTGGGAGATAGGCCTGAGGGTATCGCCATGCAGCAGTGGTTACAGGGATATAAAATGTCCACGTTATCCTTGCGGGTGTGATGCTAAGGAGGGAAACAGTGCTGGGATGAGAGGATGCTTCGCGGTATTGGAGCAGCCTTTCCGCTCGTTGGAGGAACTTCCCTTCGGGCATGACTGAGGTTCAAGTGCTGGTGTCTCAAACACCCTGCTCCTGCTTGCCTCCCAGCGGGTTAAGTGCCCTATTTAGAAATGCTCGCAAAAGCCGGTGAGGGGCTGGGGTGGGTTTTGTGCGCCTTGCTGAAAGGGGCTATTATATTCCTGGTGTTGATTGTACTGTAGTATACAGCCTTTGCAGGATCGCGTCCTTTATTTCCAATTTGCTTTGTAAACCCCCTATTGTTCGCCTTTAATTTTCTTTAAAAGTCAGATTCTTGTTTTGTATGTCATGATGATCCTTTACCGAGTCAGTACAACTTGTTCCTTGTTTATCTCTGAGATCTAAGTTTTACCCTAACGGTAGAAGTTAAATTTTACTACAGAAGGCCCCGAAGACATGCAAAACAAAGGACTTCTTGACAATGCAAGCAGTCACTTCTTGTGTAATGGTTGGTTTATTATAATTACATAAAAACATCCTTTAGAATAGTTGTTCTCCATGTGGGAAGGATTCATTGTAGAGCGTGGGTTCCAGGAAAATGCTATCTAGCTGTTGTTTTTCTTCTTCTCTCTCCTCCTTCTCCTCTCTGTTAATCTCATTGTTTTAGACAAAAGTGGGAAAAATAAGAAGGGGTAAAGGTTCTGGCTTTGAGGTGCACTCCAAGCATGCAGGTCATGTGGCAGGGAGGGTTGAGTGACAGGCTGTGCTGAATGGCAGGAAGAGGTATAATGTGTTACATACATTAGTACTTGGGATGTGACTGCCTCTCTTCTGAGCACTGGCTCCATGGCTAGAGCAAGGCTTTAGTGGTCGGTAAGGAGCAATTCCTCAGGTGAAGGCTGTGGCTGACGGAATCTGTCTTGGTGGAAGGGGGAAATGAGGGGGAACATGTACCATAGGGAAGGGCCTATTGCCATTGGGGATGCAGAAAACTTGGAGTGGTTGTAGGAATTTAGAGTCAGCAGGGAGCTGTTGTTTAGAGCTAGGGTCCAGGTATTTGGATGGAGTAGATTTGGGTCGGTTGTCAAGGAGAGATTGTGGCGTAGGGGTTTGAGAAATGCCAGAGAACATTTGGGTTTTGTTTACAAGTAGTGGAGTTAAATGAAGGAAACTACTGAAGTAAGCCTTTGGGTAACAACTGTATTCAGTTTATCTGTGTGAGAATTTCTCCCAAAGGCATTCTGAAAAAGTGCATTGCTGTCTTATGCATTGTGCTGGCACTGGCCTCCATGCAGCCTTGTGGTAGATGGGATCTGGGAGGTGATGTGGCTGAAAACTCAGCTTTGTCTTTTCATCCGGAGTAGTTTTCTTCTGGTTCAGTTCACTGCTCCAGCTCATCAAGCATCTATATGAATATCAGTCTTGGAACAAATGAGAGTGGGAAGATATCCTTCTCTGCAGCAGCTTGCTCAGGGTTTATTGCGAAGAGATTTGTGGAAACCACTGTGTAAGGGCATATGAAAACACAGTGTTTAAAACACACACCAAAAAACCCCAAGAATGACTTCCTAAAACAATATGTATCCGAAAGCATGTAAATTCCTTTTTGTATATTGACAAAATTCTTAGAAATAGTCAGCTAGTGTTTTCAGTTGGAGAAGAAAATGCTCTTGTTTGCCAATGGCGTTACATAAAAGAACAGCTACCAAACCAGTATGACAGTTTTGCAGAGCTGATTTTACTAGGATGCTGGTTTTGACTTTATAGACAACAGTAGAAAATATTTGCGAATTAAGAAATTAATGAATTAGGGAAAAAAGCCTTTGTATGTTTCAGTTGACTTCTCATGCTGTGATTCTTCCATGGATCTGTTTTGTTTTGTTAACTGTGGGGATATTATGCAGATAATATTATATAGCAAGAATATAAAATAGGGGAAAAATATGCTTCACTGCTGCTATTTGTACATTCCGTGATAGTTTGGGCAAATTTGCTATGGTATTTTAGTATTTGTAGGATTCTAGTCATTGGTGATCTGAATCATATAGGTTTACAGTCACTAGTGAGATGCATTCTATTCTTATTTGTGATGTGCTGCCATTGAGTTTGTGGGCATTAAAAACAAGGGAGGGGAATTAAAACATGGATAAGAAAGCATTATGAGCCTTACACTACTGTTTCAGTAAGACTGACTTTTTAAAATTCAGTGTATGTATTATAAGAGAATATTACAAATTCTGTGGGATTTCTTGAAGACTGTTCTATCCCCTTCTGTTTTGTCCTGGTTGTATAATACTAATTTATTTTGAAGCCTGAATCTCTGGATGAAAATGCATGTTGGCAACAGCTTGTGAATTACTTTAACAAGATTTTGACTTAAATCTTCCTTACAGTTTTCAAGTAATGCTTAGGCAAGAGAAATGTAGACTAGTAAATATAAATGAAGAATAGCTAAAATCATGAAACTAATCAGAAGCAGTGTTTTACTAGTGTAAGTGAGGATAATTGTCCTAAAATGTCTTCAGAAACTTGCACGTGGTGTAGAACTTAACAGATACGTTGTATCTGTAGTCTGTGTACTCTGAGAAAACTTCAACATCAGTGGGGTTAAAGAAACATCTTGAATGTTTAAAAGGAATTGGAAACAAAAATTTTCTTTGTTCTTAATTTTTCTTTTAAACATGGCAAATGCTAACAGTGACATTTACTTCCTCATTATTGTGTTGCATGCGGTGGGATAAACGTGATTCTGTTGAGCATCTTTTTTTTGCCTGATGGTCACACTTACTGCCTAAGACTGATCTAAGACACCCAAAGATCCTGCTGTTATGTTGTTAAGAAACTTTTCTTGACTCCCTCTTTGGTCGTGAATGTGATTCAGTATCTGACAGGTAGTGGACTATGCGTTTTTGAAAAATGTCTAGGTTTCTGTGTAAAGTTTTGATTGTTTGGGAGTGGGGTTTTTTGTTTGTGGTTTTTTTTTTTGTGTTTTGTTTTTTTTTAATGCTTCTTGCAAATATTGTTAAGAAGCTTAACTTCCAAGTTTGTTGTTGCTGATGGCTTTGCCAAGCTAGTTGCTGGGAAGCTTTAAGATTGCAGTGCTGCCAAAAGAAGCAGTCCTGTCTGGCTGCTATTGCAATATGTTGGCCCAAATGTTTGTGGGTCTGTGTCATGAACCATATTGGAAAAATCATTTGTATTGAAACTAATCCAGGTGGTCCATACTCTTTCTGATCTATTTCACTATGTGGCTGCAGAAATACTTGTGCTGGCGTAAGGGAGAGGATCATCAGGAATGTGAGGAAACAAAGGATAGGGGAGGTGGGACTGTTTCTTTAAACCAGCAGTGCTGACTTACTCTGGTTTAAAGTACTGTGGAGCTACAGCAGCTTCCTTCGTAATATCCAGATTTCTAACACAGGAGTGAAATGGTTGAGAGCCAGTCATCTCTCTTCCCATATTTTGGACAGAAAGGAAGGGAAAAAGAAGCTTGGGTTGCAAAAAGCACGTGGATTACGGGTGTGGTGTTTCAGGCGTAGACCATGTTCCGAGCAGTCACGGTCCTCTCTTAAAAATGCTTTGTGTTAGTGATGACATCTTGTGTCACATTCTTAATACACACCTTTGGCAGTCTCTTGGTCTCTTCTGAGACTAGTCCAGAGATAAGCTTTGTGTATTGAAGTAGGAGGGGCAACTAGTCTTTTGATTTAGTGACTGATGTTGTGTAGCAAGGTATCATGCTTAACACCTCTTTTTGATTGCCCTTTACCACTCATGCCCTTACTTAACATGTGTAGCCACTACAGGCTGACAGGCAGCACGAGAGTCTACAGAAAGAGGCTGTTGGTAATTTTATTTGATACTGTGAAACAATATTTTGGAGTTGTGATGCTTTCAGAGGAATGTGTACTTTATTTGTGAAAGTGTGAAGCATATAGAAGCTTACTGTTAATAGGAGCTGTTTTCCACATGCTTCTATATCTACCACTATTCTTCTCTACATTAGCTTTAATAGACGTTAATAAAATATTAGATTCTGATATATTGTGAAAACAGTTACACAGACAAACCTTTATTCAAAAAACAGCTATGTAGTCTTTTCAGTCCTGTTCCCAAGTATGAGAATTGTTTGGAAAAGGGGATTTTTGTGTGTCAAACTTTTACCTGCTACAGTTAAATGGAAACCAAAGCTGCAAATAGTTGAGGGGTTTCTATTCAATAGTTAAGGTTTTGTATTCAAAATTAGTTTACTTTAAAATGTTATCCCTACTCTTATTTTAAAAAAAAATTAGGGAGAAGGGTAGCAAATATATCTTAGTTGCCAGGGTTGGACATGGTCTATCCAATGGCTGTTTGGTTTTTTTTGTTTTGTTTTGTTTTTTAAAGTGTGGCTACTTCTCAGCCTTGCCAGATTCCTAACATTGTGTGGAACTGACTAACAGAGTTTGAGCTATAGTAATTTAAGATCCTGTCTTCTGCCTAGAGGTTTAAAGGTGAAGTAACTATTTTGTTCTATATCCCCAGGATCTAAAGACTTGCCTAAATTAGGATTTTGAATTTCAGCTGACACCAACAGATTGTTTTTAAAACTCAGAAGCAGAGATGATTTAAATATTGATTTAAAACCCGAGACTGAACTTCAACCATTTAGCTGAAGCTTGTATTCCTTTTTCTATGCTAGACTTCTGAATGCCTTGATTAACCTTTACTAGCTAATACCATCTCGCCTTTTGTCTAGACAAGATCTGAATGGTCCGATTCACTACTGTGCTCCTTCAGAGACTCATGCTTGCTGCTGATGAGAAGTAAAAACTTAATCTTTATTAAAGCATATATTTAGTAGAAATGGGAAATATCTTGGTCACTACTAGTGAATGGTAAGTGGACTTTTGAAAGCAGTGTATATGAACACAAGTGCTACATTTCTTTTGGATGAAGAAGACATTGGAAACATCTGTGAACAAGTGTGAAAGTGTCATTTAGGAGCAGTGGATGTCTTACGGCTTTGGCTTTAGTGAATGAATTGTTGACATGCCAAATTTATGGGATATCCATCCCATCTGTATTGAATTGAGACAAAATTCTGAGCTGCTTGAGTGGAATTGGAAAGTTTGCTTAATGTTGAGTCAGACTACAAATATACACATAGTCTTAAGGCTTTGAGGTAACTAAGAGCTGAGGCCAGTGAAAAGTTCATATTTTTGAGACTAGTTTCATTATTACAATTATGCTGTGTTTCTGTATACCCTTAAAAGAGCTTATTTTTGGAGGAGATGTTGTTTATTTAGGTAAACTCATATATGTATGCATCTTAAACAAGAAGGTATAGCAGAGTAATGCTTGTATAAATGCTGCAGAGAAACCTAAAGGAGAAGCTTTCACGGTTGACCTAAGTCCTCATCCCATTTTTTTTTTTTTTCAAAAAAAGATAGCTCCAGTTAAGTGCAAAGCTGTATATTAAGAGTTCAAAATGGTGTAATAGTTTGCTACTGTCCTTTTTTGCACCCTCCTCCTGGCTACGTGCTGTTCTTTCCCCTGTAATCCAGCTGTGGCAGTTGTTTGGCCCTTCATTAAGCCAGTTTGATAACCTAGCCATATGAAAGTGATTTCTGGGTATCGAGAGCCTGCTCAGTGAAGTACCCAAAGGGTGTTAGGGCTGTTGTGAAAGTGGTGATCATGCATTGTACAGCTCTGTATGCAAGGCTGAAGGAGGAGTGATCATGTATGGAAGGGGAGTAGGATTTGCCCTTTGGCAGTGGCTAGCTCTTGAGCTGCTCCAGTCTTAACATGCAGCTTCACTGAGTCCAAGAGTAAATTTGCCATTTTTTTGTGTGTTGTCTTTTCATGATAAACGGATTAACGTTTGAACCCCTTTAAGCAAAATGTATGACCTGCTCTTTAGTAAAAGTTCATGTCTTTGACAGTCTCTTTCTGTTCTGTAGGGATTATTATTGCTGAAAGCACAAATAGAGAGTTTTGAAATAATTGCTTCATTGGCACCAACTAACGGGCTTAGGTAAGATTAACTTAATTCTATTTTTAAATGTTCGGATTGAACCCAAACGTTTAAAGTGAGAATTGATTTTGTTTTCCTAAAATGTATGCATGCAGTAAGGAACTAAAATATATAAAACTTTCTGAAGTTAGCTTCTCTCTTGTAAAGGTTGACTATCGTATAGTATATATGTACTACTTATACATAGAATGCAAATGTATAAATGTTATTGTTGAATACAGTGAAAATAAACCAGATTTCTTTTCCTTTAAAGCTGAGGTTGGGTTGTATTATAAACTTGTTGTGCATCTGAAGTTTGATCTAAAAATTACTTGTAATAGCAAAAAAACCCAGGGTTTTTTTCTGTCACTCTTGGAAAATTGATATGCTTCATGTTTTACAACGGTTTAAAAATTCTAAGTTTATGTTACCTGTGAATAGGTGAACATAAGAGATTATAAGCCGTTTTATGTGAGTTTAATTGAACACAATGAATTAGAAACCATCTTCTGAGTGTAGGTTGTATACTTTTGCTTTTTAATGGAAGGAGCCAATAAAAGACAGCACTCAACATATCATGCTTCTCCAAGGTAAATAATTTTTTCTTAGTTAAGTGGAAAACTAGTTGAGGTTAAAATTTTTTTTTTGCAGTTTCAGATGAGGTTACATCTGTTTGGGGCCATGTAAATTCTTGTGCTACTATGGTGGGGAAAGTCATGTGGGGCAGGCGGGACCAGTTGATAGGGGAAAGGTTGGTCTGCTTTTTTCTTTTGGGTTGACTTATATGTGTCTAAAATGTCTGAAATTTTGGTAACTTTAAGCTCTAATGCTGCTTATTTGTCTTTACATAATTGAAATATCACCCAGGTAACAAGAAAGACTAAAAGTACCTTGTGACAAAGTGCTTGTGTTGAGCTTGTATTTTCAATACAATAATTTTGGGCTTTCATGCTTGTTTGAAATACAAAAGCTAAATGTTTGGGTTTTTTACATTTTTGTTTTAATTATTATTAAACAATGATTATTATAGATATTGAGCATACAAAGGCCTAAACATGTGTAGTTAACTGTTCACAGTGTATATTCAGGTTGTCTAATTTGACTTTTTTTTTTAAAGCTGGGCAATTTCAAAAGAAAATGGTAATGGGTCAAAGTTTTTGTTAACTAAATAGGGGATTTTTAGACAATAATCTGAAAAGAAAAGGAAAAGGTGTGTATTTTTTATGGTTAGCACTAATTCTAAATATTTATTATGACTGTACATAAGAAGAAATGGTAATTTGTTATGAGTTTATTTTAGGACTCACTGCTTTATAATCAATTGTAGTTTTTATAGCTTAATTTGAGCTGAAGAATGTTGAATTCTGTTGCAAGCCATGTTATTTAACTAGTTGCTGAAATCTTTTAAGTTGGCCGTGCATTTTACATGTAGTTTAAAAAGCAAAGCTAACCTGAAAAGATGCAGGCTGGGCATATTGACCAGTGGAAAATTGGATCAGAGTGATTTGCTTTAGTACACGTGGTTAAGAGAAATAATACCCCTGGCTCAAACTGACAACTGCTCAACAGAATACTTCAGGCCTTTTTCTTTGCTTGTGTAAAAGATACATTGTAGGGGACTATGAAGTCCTTCCAGGGAAGGATTGATGCACTGGAAATGCAAGGAAACTATAAACCAGAAAAATAATTTTGTTTTAATATATTTTAAATGTGTAGTTGTCCAGAGTCACATTATTTGTTGCCTTAATTTGCAGAAATGTTTTTCTGTTGCTTCCACTCTCCTTCTACAGGACCAGTTTGCCATTACATCTGGAAAAGCTTTTACTGTTATACTTTTATCTTTTCAGACAAAATGTGTGCATTGTAGCTGTGTTAAATTATTTAAATTGTGGTTGAGCTTTTATTTTACTAATAAATATACTCATATTGTCTTCAAAGTTCTTTTGTTCAGGAAATACTATACCTCTTCTGAATATTCTCATGTTAGCATATAAAAATTTAATTCATTTCTGATTTACGTGGACTCTAAATAGTCACTTCCCTTTTTTCCCCCTCCTCTCATTGTTTTTCCTTTTGGTAAGGAGGATATCTACTGGGAAAAATGGGTCGATCTAACTCTAGATCACATTCTTCAAGATCAAAGTCAAGATCCCAGTCCAGCTCTAGGTCAAGATCCAGATCACATTCTAGAAAAAAGAGATACAGGTAAATGGATGTCTTACTAAACCGACTTTTCATGCAGTATATTAGTTTTTGTCTGGAAGTTATTTTTCACTTGCATAATGCTGTGGCAAGACTGAGCCTGGGATGTTACTACATTTTAGGCAGTAGGTAAATTCTGTTTTGAATTAAATTTATGTTACTTTGTTTAATACTTGGCTGTTTTTTCTCTTTTCCTGTATTTCAAGATAATTTCAGAATGGTAATGGTTCTTCATGATTTGTGGCTTGTTTGATTCTCCCCTCCCCCTTTCTG